ACACACACACACACATATAAGTATACAATATAATCCGAATAGAAGTTTCCAAACGTATATACATGTAAAATCAGCTCAATAAAATATTTCTTAAAAATGATTTATTCTATTACTCATTATAATTCAACAATTTTTAAAATCATTAAAAAAAATTCGCGTACCTTATTGACCCACCAGTTTACTTTAACTCCATATAAATGTCAATCATACCATTTACTTTTTTTATACAACTTAAAATAATTTAATCACCCTTATTTATAGAATGATTGTGTAATTACCTTATTTGATCCAAATCATCATAGTATATCTATATATATACTGTGATTTTCACCAGTAAAATAAAAATATTTCAGTGACATTCAATGATCACATTTAACGAAAATTTATAGTACATGATAATTGCAAATAATGCCTACTTTAATTACATTAGTGAGAAAAAGCACACTAATAGTAGTTAAAAATAAGAGATTAGTCGAAATAATTAAATAATAATAATAATAGTGTTGGGATGTTTATTGCCGAAAATCAAAGTTGCGAGTGTCGACATCTAGGGACGGTAAAGGTCCGCGGTCACCCACGTGAAACGCAAGCCACATGATCAAATCAAATCTATAACAGGAAACCCCTATTCCACTTTTCATCCACGTCACCGTGATTTTCGTATTTGACGACGATCCCTATGCGTCCTTCTCCACCCTCCGATCCATATCCCTCACTCTAATCTCTCACCGTTCATCTATCCTTATCTCTACATTTCACTCCACCTCTTTACTACTACTCTGTTGCAATTGCAATTGCTACATCGCTAACCCAAAACTAAACAACGCAACACAACACTCTCATCTCATTTTATGAAACACGCTACACTTTCTTCTCTCCGTTTCGTTTCACCCCAACTCATCACAAACTCACTCACTCTCTTCCTCTTTCACTCGCCCTCTCTCTAATCCAACCCTCACGCGCAGGTTAGCGTTTCTCCTTTTCTATTCGCTCTTTCCTCTCTTTGCTTTGTTATTTTAATGTTAAACCCTAATCCAATGCTTCTCATTACTTCATTCGATCCCTTATCTTATCACTCTCCATTCTCCACATTCTTCTTTTTTTATTCTAAAGGTTTTACTTTTAATTCCTTTTTATTGTTGTTGAAACCTGTAAATTCTAACACGAATTACAAATGTTAACGATTCGGTGCGTGCGTTCGTCTGTGTCTGCTTGCTTTGTTCCCCGCCGCCTGTATATTTTCGTACCGGTTATGTCGGTTATGTGGCTTTCTGATTCCCCGTTTTTTGATGAATCTAGGGTTTTCGAGTGACGTTGAGAATTTGTAATGGATTATGAGGCTGATGGTTATGGTGCCAATGGCGAGGGAGAGAGCAAGAGAGTGGGTGAAGGAGTTTCTGAGGAGATTGTGGTGGGGTCCGACAGTTTGAAGAGTTTAGATGTAGAGGTGGATTTTCAGGAGGCAATGGAGCCACGGGAGCAGGTTCGTGATCAAGGATCGGAACTCCGTCCGGAGGAGGCAGTAGTTGATAAACTGGATGATACCAACGCTGGTAGTTCATTGACTTCAGCTTTGGTGGATGAACAAAGTTCAGATGTCGTTCAGGAGCCTGATTCCTCTAAGGAGGCCATTGGGGCTGATTATGAGTATGGGAAACTGGGTGAAACTGATTTAATTGCTAATCAGGATTCGAAATGGGATGAGCCGGGAAATGATACTGTTCATCTGGATGGTGTTGATTCTGGAGTGTCTGGAGATGATGATTTTTTTTATGGTTCTAATGGTGTGGAGGAGGATAATTTGGAGCATAATGATGAGATAGGTGGAAAGGAAGAGTCTGGGTTAAATTCTGACGTAGAGGTGTCTGATAAGGAAAATGGTTTTGTGGTGGATGAAAACTCTGGTTTGACGAGTGATAAGGCTGAATTTGATGATACTGAATTCAAAACTCCTAGAGAAAATGGTGGTACAACGTTGGATGATGTAAACACAGACAAGGAGGACGGTTTGGACACTGAAGTTATTATGGAATCTGAATCCGGTGTCGTGATTCCAGCTGAAGGTACTGACGATGGGGATTTGAAGGAGTGTGACGCAGATCCTGAAATTGGAGATGGCAATACAGAGGTGAAGTTAAATGATTCAGCTGATTCTTCGGGTGAGATTCACGATGATACATATGAAGAAGTACATGCCACTTCAGCTGACACGACTTTAGAACAACAGGATGAAGTTACTAGGGATGTGAAGGATGCTACTCTGGGCACTGATATAAGCCATGAGGATAAAAATGAAGAAGAAACGAGTGCCCCTAGCATTCAGAATGCTGAATTAACTGGTTATGGAAATGGTGATGCCGAAGATGAAATCTCATCCTCTTTGGAAATTCCCTCAACTAAGGAGACATTGCCTATTCAGGAGGGTAGTGCGGCTGATCCAAACGACGGAAGTAATAAGGATGATCAAGCTCAGATTTCAGATGAAAATCATAGAGATGATGAGAACTCTTGTGTGGTTGAAGAGCCTGAAAGGATACATGAGAAGATTATTAAAGAGATAGGAACCACACAAGAGACTGGAGAGCAACCTGTTCAACCTTCCACAGTTGTTTCTTCGACCGAAAGGTCTGCTGATGCTGGGCCTCTTCCTGTTCATCCTTCATCTGAAAATTCTGTGGGTGCTGGACCCATTCCTGTTCGTCCCGCCGGCCTTGGTCGTGCAGCTCCATTGCTGGAACCTGCATCTCGGGTGGTGCAGCAGCCTCGTGCTAATGGTACTGTGTCTAACGCTCAAGCCCAGCAAATGGATGACTCCTCGAGTGGGGAGGCTGAGGAGTATGACGAGACACGGGAGAAACTTCAGATGATCAGGGTGAAGTTTTTACGGTTGGCTCATAGGCTTGGGCAAACTCCCCATAATGTTGTTGTAGCTCAAGTTTTATATAGATTAGGACTAGCTGAGCAACTAAGAGGAAGGAATGGGGGCCGTGTTGGTGCTTTTAGCTTTGACCGTGCAAGTGCAATGGCGGAGCAGCTTGAAGCTGCAGGTCAGGAGCCACTTGATTTCTCTTGTACAATAATGGTCCTTGGAAAGACTGGAGTTGGTAAAAGTGCTACCATCAATTCTATTTTTGACGAGGTTAAGTTTAATACCAGTGCTTTTAGTATGGGAACCAAGAAGGTTCAGGATGTCGTGGGAACAGTCCAGGGTATTAAGGTACGGGTCATTGATACACCAGGACTTCTACCTTCCTGGTCAGACCAGCGAAGCAACGAGAAGATCCTCCTCTCTGTTAAGAACTTCATAAAGAAAACTCCTCCTGATATTGTGTTGTATCTTGATAGGTTAGATATGCAAAGCAGGGATTTTAGTGACATGCCACTCTTACGCACAATTACGGAAATTTTTGGGCCATCCATTTGGTTCAATGCCATTGTGGTTCTGACTCATGCAGCATCTGCCCCTCCTGAAGGTCCCAATGGCACTGCTTCCAGTTACGACATGTTTGTTACTCAGCGTTCTCATGTCGTGCAGCAAGCCATTCGCCAAGCAGCTGGTGACATGCGTCTCATGAATCCTGTATCCTTGGTAGAGAACCACTCTGCTTGCCGAACAAACAGGGCTGGCCAGAGAGTATTGCCAAATGGCCAGGTTTGGAAGCCTCATTTGTTACTTCTATCTTTTGCCTCTAAAATTCTGGCCGAAGCAAATGCTCTTCTTAAGTTACAAGATAGTCCACCTGGGAAGCCTTATATAGCTCGAGCACGAGCGCCTCCATTACCTTTTCTTTTGTCAACCCTTCTCCAATCACGACCACAGTTAAAGTTGCCGGAGGAGCAGTTTGGTGACGAGGACAGTCTTGATGATGACCTTGATGAGGCATCAGAGTCTGATGATGAGAATGAACATGATGACCTGCCGCCATTTAAACCTTTAACAAAGGCTCAGGTGGAAAAGCTGTCTAAGGCTCATAAAAAAGCATATTTTGATGAGTTAGAGTATAGGGAAAAGCTTTTGATGAAGAAACAATTGAAGGAAGAAAGAAAGCGACGGAAATTGATGAAGAAAATGGCAGAAGCAGCAAAAGATCTACCTAGTGATTACAGTGAAAATGCGGAAGAAGAAGGTGGTGGTGCAGCTTCTGTTCCTGTTCCGATGCCAGATTTGGCCCTTCCTGCATCTTTTGATTCTGATAACCCCACTCACCGGTATCGTTATCTTGATTCATCAAACCAGTGGCTTGTTAGACCTGTTCTAGAAACTCATGGATGGGATCATGATGTGGGTTATGAAGGCCTGAATGTAGAAAGGTTGTTCGTTGTCAAGGACAGGATACCTTTGTCTTTCACGGGTCAGGTTACTAAAGATAAAAAGGATGCTAATGTTCAGATGGAAATAGCCGGCTCAGTTAAGCACGGGGAAGGGAAAGCAACTTCATTAGGATTTGATATGCAGACTGTGGGCAAGGACTTGGCTTATACATTACGCAGTGAGACAAGATTTACTAATTTTAGAAGAAATAAGGCAACCGCTGGTCTTTCATTTACTTTGCTTGGTGATGCCTTATCAGGTGGAGTTAAGATTGAAGACAAATTGGTTGCCAGTAAGCGGTTCAGGGTGGTTATCAGTGGTGGTGCAATGGCAGGGCGCAACGACATTGCATATGGTGGCAGTTTGGAGGCCCAGTTAAGAGATAAAGATTATCCTTTGGGTCGTTTCCTATCTACTCTCGGGCTCTCTGTTATGGATTGGCATGGGGATCTTGCTGTTGGGTGCAATGTGCAATCTCAAATCCCAGTTGGACGACATACGAACCTGGTTGCCCGGGCGAATTTGAACAATCGAGGGGCAGGACAAATAAGTGTTCGATTAAACAGTTCGGAACAGCTTCAAATTGCTTTGGTTGCTCTCATTCCTCTCGTAAAGAAGCTAGTTGGTTATCCTCAACAATTGCAGTATGGGCAATATTAACGATGATAGTGTTAGTTTACTTCAGCTGCAACACCTGCATGGTAATAGGGAATGACTTCAAGTTGGCATCTTTCATGAATTGAGGTGATACTGAAATTCGCTATGTTTTTTCATACTCAAGTTTGTCTTATTTGATCATATAGTACTTTTCTTCGTTAGCTATTCTCTTTCGGTGTTTTTGTTAAATTATGCTGCTGAACTCCAAGAATTACATCATTTTTATTCTTGTCTTCTGCGGATATACTTGATGCCTTGTAAATTCTTTTCTTATTTATTTCTTAGAATGTTAGTCATTTGTACTTTTCGGTTTCTCCATACTCTAATAGCAGATAGCAGTTTGTGCTCTCGGTGCTATTCCCTTAAAATTTTCTTGTTGGTCTTTGCCCCATTGCAGTACCTTTTTAAGTATGTGTCTATCATCCATCTAAATCAACATAACTGCTATTTAAATTATTAGAAAGTGTCATTGGGACTCTGCCAACGAAGTTTCAATTGGGGTCATACATTTTTGCCCCTTCCATGATATAATGCTTTAGTTATTTTTTATTTAATTTTCATGAATTATTGATTGTGTTGGGCCATTTTTTTCCTCGGCCTTTTGTGGCGGTTCTTGCTGCAAAATAGTTCAAAACTTTGAAAACTGTGATACAAGAACTACATGACAAGTTGGATAGCAAAAAGCCCTAGACGACAATGGCAATTCCATTGATTTTAAACCATCGGCTGGTGCTTGTATTTTTTATATTTCATTTGACCAGGGGCAGCGGCTAAAAAGTAATTTTATTATTTTTTAAAATATTCATGCAGCATGCAAATCTCCATGAATAAAGCACATTTACCGATATAACTTTGGGGAAAAGAAAAGTTGTACCCTTTTAATTTTACTTATCAACTACGCATATGCCATGGGATTTGTGAAACATGTCGATGTGAAATTTCAATCCTCTAAAATGACTTATCATCGCCCCTGCCATACTTTATCAAAAACACCTTTCCTACTCCATTGTTATATAGCCTTGTATTTTTCAGGTCAAACGACAGAAAGTATACAGACATTTATACACTCTGTCGAAAAAAAAAGAAGCCAATCGGTACTTCAAAACTTTTGTGATAATTGCTCCACCGATCCTCTTCGAAGTCTCTGTAATTCAATTTACTCAATTTTAAATTAAATATCAATCGAATTAAAATTTAAAAGTAATGTGTGCCTAAATTCATTTTAAGAATTGTGCTTGTTTTTCGTACACTGATAAATTGCAATTGCTTTGATTTTTTCGACATTTGATACGATGAGTATGCTAGAATCTAATTTATGTAGAAGTCATACTTGAGGACGAAATTGCATAAATAGAAAATTATTAAAAGTAAACTAATAAGGAATGCAAAAAACAAATTGGAGTATAGTGCAAATTTCAACTAAGAAACGTGTTTGACCCAAAAACAGAGTACATTGAAATAAAAAAATAAACACAGGTTATGCAATTCATTACTTGTCTCTTTTTAATGAATAAATTTCTGTTGTATAATTGGCCTACGAAGACGATGAAGTGGACGTAAGGTTCGTACTAATATTAATCTGAAAGCGACACTCTATACATACTAATACTAAACGAGGGTGATTAAGATCAGTCTCAAAGATGGAAAGCGACATTGTATAACAATTTAAAGGTACTTTCTTCCTGCACCTATCAAATTTTGGATTTCATTTTCCGAACCGACTTAATTAATTTTGGAAAATTTATCCCGAATAAGAGTAGTGAGTGTATTTTGAAAGTTATTTCTCTAATTAATTTAGTGTGTTCTGAAAAATAAAATTCGGAATGAAGGAGTGTAGAAAGAAATGTGATAGGGTGTAGAAAGAAAATGTCCAACTTAAAAATGGATTCCCTGGCAATACCTAACTTCTTTCCCCAAGCCCATCTGTTTGAAGCCCACTACTAAGTATATCATTTGGGTCGAACCCAACTACCACATTAACTGCATCTGAAACCATCCTGAATATTGGCCTGTGAAAAATACTATACATATTAATATACATATTTCACATTAACAATACTACAGATTAGCAGTTGCATATACTGCATGCTTAAATACTGTTTGGTTGTGAGAAAAGAATGTCAAAGATGTCACATTGACTGATATATATATATACAATCTCATATCAACGTGGGAATAGTTTCTGAAATATCTCACATCCTCCAATAATATAATTAAAATAATATATTACGGAATTTGACTTAGAAAATATTTTAGGAATAAAAATATTTTTTAAAAGATAACCTTAACTATTTTATACTTTAAAATATTATACTGTAAATAAAATTTATATTTATAGAGTTTATTTTTATAGAAAATCATCATTTTTATATAACTTTTTTCTAAAAGAATTATTTCCTTTTTTTCTAATTTTTTTATTTCATAATTCTTAATTTGAAATAATAGAGACTGCAAAAAGTTATCATGACGGGAAATTTCACACATTTACCCGACTAAAAATTAAAGATAAAATAAGTTCACTTTTTATTTTTTTATTATTAAGTTACATGTAATCATAGTTTAACACATAAGATTAAAATAGCTTAAAGGTCATAAAAATGTGTTTAGATTTCTAACTCAGATTTGTAACATCCCAAAAATACAGTATAAAAACTATATAAGGAAATAATCACATATTAATAATATTTCAAATCAGTCTTACAAAAGATGAGAAGTACGTTTATGACCGAACGGTCTTACAAGATAACGGGGAAATTAAAACTGTACAAATATGCAATCTAGACCGAACGGTTTACAGAAGACGTACCGAACGGTCATAAAAAAAAAGAAAACAACAAATGACAGAACGATTATCACACAAAGAAACTAACTACTAACAGAACGACTCTACTGTTCGGTCTTAACTTCTACCTCGACCAAACTTTCTTCTTCCAGCGCCTCTTCCAGCAAAGCTTCTCCTTCTGCTCACATCCACACGGATGATCATTGCAACAGAAGGACAACCACCGAACGTACAAAACGGGCAAGACAGGAAATAGGGTAAGCTTATGTAATTTAATTCAATTATCAACATATATCTCACTCAATCAATTTAAACAAGATAACTCATTAACTCTTTCATGCAAAGCCTAATACTAGACTCTGACCGTCCGGACTGTATGAATTATGTGTAGCTACGACGTTCGTTCACCCGGGTGATGTAGTAACTGGGATACCCTCAACAGCTGCCACCTGAGGTTAGTCCGTTCCGTCCAAATTAACCATAAGGACGAGGACCTCCTGCCATTCCCACACATGACTTACCCTTCTATAAGTGAGAAACGAGTAATCACGGAATATCAGGATGAACCGCCAGCTTAGCGTGCCCACATTCATACTTTACCATTCCAATATCAAATCATGAGATATTCCTCCTCGGAACACTCTTCCATAACCAAAGTAATTTCATCCATATCGTATTCTATCCACTTTCATTATTAAAACCTCAACTGAACCAATTTGAATAATGATCCCTTAGGATACCAAATATCGCACGTTAGTTTTTAATCCAGAACAAGACCGAACACTTGAAGTGAGACCGAGATGTCTCCAACTCAAACATAATCAAATTGAGAGAGTTACTCACTAGTTGTGAAAAGGACCGAATATAATAATACTTCTCAGAGACTAATATAATTGAATGTTGTTTACCAAGTGAGCCAATTTAATGAACTGACTCTTGAGAGTTCAAACCGAACACCGTAAAGCCTAGGCCGAGTACTAGGACTCTAGGCCGAAACCAATTGAGACAGGTACTATAGGACACCAAATAATAGTACTTGACAGAATCATATGAAGAAATCGATCGCCAATAAATACTTAGCTTCTTAATGAGCTAAACCTCAAGGAAACCGAATGTCAGTTGAAGACTGAGCATTGTAGAGAGCGAACTCTATGGAGTTTGGACGAACGCTCTTATTATAAAGATAGATTACGGAAACGAGAACGAGCGCCTGGTGTAAGACCGAACACTTACTTAGTACGAGCGCTTGGTGTAAGACCGATCACTACTTAGTACGAGCGCTTGGTGTAAGACCGATCACTACTTAGTACGAGCGCTTGGTGTAAGACCGAGCACTACTAAACTTATAGAAGAAAGGCTTGATAAATATAATAAGATACAATTTAAATAGTGTTCACGAACGAACAAAATATACAAATACATATAGATATACTTAAGTTTACCATCAAACACCAAGGAACGAATATCCTTGGTTGAACGCTTATATACAGATATTACAGAACGAAGATGCTCGGTCCTCAACTGGAATTCTTTCCAAATGAAAGAATCCAGTTCCAACCGAGTCCACAGGAAAACCCAACGGTCAAAGATCTTCAGTGACGAACATAAATTTTCACATAAAACTCTAGACTTAGAATTCATAATCTTATCAATACATTTCTCAACATCTATCTTCATACATTCATACATCCATATCATAGTAAATATTCACACTTCATACAGTCAAAACATATCAACAATCATACTTCATATTCATTCAGAAATCAACGAACATTCATCCATTCAAAACAAGAATCTTAATCAAATTATATAAGCTTTCCTTACCTCTAAGCGTGACCGAACGTTCACAGTTCAGAATACGGGTTCACCTTTGCAAGAGACCTTAGCGTTCTACAGTCACGCCTTAAGAAACTAAACCAAACAGAAATCCAGAAACTCTCAGAACAAGATGATTGACTCATGCAACCCTTAAACTAGGTTTGCATGTACCAAGAAGCTAACCGACTGAATGAAGAGAGAACTTACCAACTTAGAACCCGGAACTGATCGGTTCAAACGAACGTCCTCGACGCCGGAAATGTTCAGGTGTGGTCTGTTTGATGATCGGAAGAAGAAAAGAGTGAGATTTTGTAGAGAGAAGTAAGAGTTTTTTAGAGAGAAGGAGGAGAAAAATAGAGTTTCAGAAGATTGAAGAAGATGACTGCATGCAGAGAGTGGCATGAATTTTGAAAAACTAAGTTTTACTTCTACCTTCCAAAACTGAATGGCCACTCGACTGCTCACACCTGTCTTCCACTTTTTGATTTCCAGCTCCCCTTTCTCGACATTTGTCTTCCACTCAAATGGAGTTTTTAGTGTGTTTTTAATGGTTCTGACATCATGCATGTCAGGAAAGTGAATAATATTTTTACATTTGATTAAACTTTTAATCTGTGTGTGTTTTTATATTTGATGAAATGA